GAAGGGGTGTGGTATGGGGGGGGGGGGGGGGGGGGTGACAATGTCAGGGTGAACAATGTTCACCCTGACATTGTGAAGTAATTAATTTAGATTAATAGCAGTTTAGTGTCAGCTCACTGACTGTCCAAGTTCTGAATCACACAAATGCTCCCATTATAATCAATGAATTAAATGTAAAACAAATCTTGTCTCTATGACATATTCCACATTTTCAACAATACTTTTTGCTTCCATTCAATGCCAGGTGATGTTTCAGCACTCATTTTTGTGAAAACAAGCACCTGTGGAACAGGCTTAAAATGCACTCAAATTGGCCATATCATCCGTGCGGTCAACAAGTCAAGTTCACCTTTATTTCTTGTTTTGTCAAAGCAGCTTCAAAGTGATAAACAGGAAAATAGCAGAATCAATTATGGAAATGCAACAATGAAGACAGAGACAATAGTGTCATAATTTAGCTAAAATTAGTTAAGTGTTGTTTCAGTTCAGAAAGGGCTGCACAATAAATCATATTTTAATCATGATCGCGATTTCGGCTTCTCTCGATTTATTAAGCATAATCGTCCGTGTCATTTGCCCGCTGATCATTTATCCTGAAAACTTCTCTTTTTAATTTGCCATTTGTGTTTCAAGCCACAAGCTTTCATGGTTGTAGTTGCCAGATGTTAAGAGTTCAAATCCCCCGATCTTAAAATCAACAGACACGTCTGTGATTGGTTACAATGCTCAGCTGCTACAAAACACATTGTAAATAGATACAACAGGAGTAAACCGACATGATATGTGTATTAACACTTTTCCATAATCGCAATCTTAACTATTCTTTTTATTAATTTTGAAGTCCTAGTTAGCGTGTTAAAACATTTAATCCCAGACAACTAAATTACATAAAATCTCTGCTGGCTAGAGTGAATAACTTAAGTATTGCAGTTAATGAGCCACTTCTGGGTCTAACACCACAAGCTACATTATCGTTTTTAATGTTTAGTACATGTATTGTGAGGTATGACTTACCCTGCTCAAGCCCATGTGATAACTGCTTTTTTCCAGCTCAAGAGACTCCAGCAGCTCTTCGACAGCCTGAAACCCACAGAGAGACAGACACGCGTATAAAACAGTGAGACAGACATAAAGATCTAGTGTGTCGTCCACCTCAGCAGAGCACCAAGTAGAGTGCAGTCTGGGGTGCTCTTTCTGTCCAAAAGCTAAGCCACCTTGGGGAAACTGGGTCTCAAACAACTGTCTTAATGTCTGACCCCTCTCTTCCACTCACCCATGAGTGTTTTCTTCCTGACAAGATGTCAGGCAAATAATAACATGGCAGGGGATTAAAAAATCTTGGTGGACTGATGACTTATGGCTAGAGTTTGAGCTAAAAGCACAAGCAGGTATTGAGTGCTCTCTGCAGGGGCACAGGGGCTGTCTGGAGAACCGGTTCAGTGGTGAGAGACAAGCCAAAAGCCACGTCTCAGACTGAGCCACAACAGATAGATCACAGGTCTAATTGGGGAATCTGCTGAGAATTAGTTACCAAAGAGAGACCTCTGAAAAGCATAGCTAAAGCAACATGAGAGCAAATATCATTCTCATGAGATACATATATTTAAGCCTGTAATTGACCTATTACCTGCGGCATAAATAGATAATATACATACAGTACCAGTCAAAAGTAGTACAAACAACAAATAGAAGTATGGGAACTGTACCAGTCAAAAGTAGTATGTTATCAAACCACAAATAGAAGTATGGGAACTGGGACCAAAAAAAACTGAATCAAAATGATATTTTATATTATTTTCCTTTACTATCTGGTCCATTCATACTATAAAATTAATCAAATAAAATCCACTGTATATTTATAACTAACTTTATAATTTGAAATCAAATCATATTAAATTCAAACTATATTTGATATTATTTTCCTTCACTTTCTGGTCAATAAAATAAAATAAATAACATAATATAATAATATAATATAATAATATAATATTAATCATATTAATAAACTAAACTAAAATAAAATAAAATGTAGTTCACTCTGGTCCATTCAAGCTAAAAAGTTTTTTAGTGAAGTAAATTGATTATTACCATTTGATACATTACCATTTATATTTGTCAAAAGCATTTAAAGCATTTAAGCATACACCTTTAAATCAAAGTGTCTTTAAGGTCATGAGAAACCTATATTCAGTGGAACTGTATTTACATACATATGTATATGTACATATACATTAAAATGCACATTTACACACACATATATATCAATTTATATACACATGAAGTTAACATTAGGACATTATGGGTCTTTGTAGACTCAATAACAGAACCAGGGTCAGTGATAGGACAGAATGCCACTGATAGAGTCGTCACTCTGGGCCCTGATTAAAGCCTTTATTGCCCTGTCACCAGAGCAGAGCCGATATTAAGGGGAAAAGGATGTGTACAACAACACAGCTCTCTGCCCTGAGCATTGTCATAATCAATTACATGGAAGAGCAACTCTTGAAGGAGGAGCTAAACAGTGCTCAGAGAAACAACACACTCACAAACACAAATAAAAGGACACTCACCCTTCTCTCATCGGTTACGATGTAGTTCCGCCCATGCTTCTTCGTCAGATGGGGAGACAGCACATCAAAGCGGCGACGGAACTCCGAAAAGACCAAATGATCGGGATAACCTTGAGGAAAGGGAGAGCCGAACGACAGGAGCATTACAGGAGAAGGACATGTGTGATTCTAGAAAGCTACAGATCTGTGGAGGTTCAGCAGAGAGCAATGATGAGGGCATTGGTCAGTTGCTTATCTTGAGAATGTTCTGCTTACTCAGGGCTTTAGGCTGAAATGTGCCAGAACAGTTTCCAGTGACATTTTGCTGATTTCACTGCAATGTTTTCAAAAAGACTACTCAACAAAATAAACTCATGAACGTCTCCGAGAATGGAAAAAAAAGACATCTAGAATACTACGTAGCATCTGGCCACATAAGCCCTACAAAGGTCAACAAACCCTGCGAGAAAAATGCGATATTCGCAAAAGTCAAACCTGCATGGAAAATTTGAACTTTTAAATCTTTCCTCTTTTCAGACATTTTTCTACATTCTCTTCAAAATAAAGGTCACAGATCGATAACCAGGGTCATTCAGTGTCTTTATCTTATGTTTTAAATGCCTTGCATTTTAAAGTCTAACCTTGACGGTAGATACGGAGGGCGTCGAGCAGTTTGGAGCCACGGAGCTGCGCCCGGAGCAAGCACACATCCAGCTGCATGAGGCCGTTGTCACAGCTTTCTCCATGTGCGTCTATCTCCCCAGAGCGAGACGAGGGTCCTCCCAGCACCTTCAAATCCCCAGCTGAAGTCTCTGCTTTAGGCAGCAGACAGTGCACGAAGTGCACCCTGGACCGCCTCACTGTGTCTATCAGTGCATCCTACGGGAAAACACAACAGTCACATTAAGTTCAGAAAAGCTGTTTGACCATATTATACGATTTTCTGACACTAATGGGTCATGATTAGTGGTTGATATTTGGCATTTCTCAATGATCTAATAATAGTTTTTTTCTGTTTGGCTGAAAAGTGCAACTGGGACCTTTATTTTGATAGTGCCGGGACTTCTATTTTGCAGCTCTTTCTGAAGTATGAAGCTAGATTTTCTACCTCATTTAATTTCATTTATTTATATAGCACAAATAAACACAACAGGAGTTGACCACAGTGCTTTACAGAATATAAAACTAAGATACAGATAAAGAAGAAAACAATAAGACAAAAAAAATAAATAGAACATAATTAAGAATTGCTAAAAAGCTCGGGCCAGTAGATAAGAATTTAACTCATGTACAGAGGACAGGGATCTCAAATAAAAAGGAAGACTGTTCCAGAGCCTAGGTCCAACAACGACAAATGCACGATCCCCTCTTGACTTCAGTCGTGTTCGAGGCTGAGCTAGAGAATAATTGTTTGTGGACCGCAGACACCTGACTGATGTGTTCACATTTAAAAGTTCAGACAGGTACGAGGGTGCAAGACCATTAAGGGATTTAAAAACAAACATCAATCATTTAAAATCGACTCTATGACGAACCGGCAACCAATTTAGAGCCATTAAAATAGGAGTAATATGTTGGCGCTTGCGGACTCCCGTTAGAAATCTGGCTGCAGCGTTTTGCACCATTTGAAGCCTTGTAATAGAGGACTGGGAAATTCCAGCATGTAAAGAATTACAGTAGTCCAATCGAGATAAAACAAAAGCATGTGTGACTCTTTCAAGATCTTTGGGGGACAGAAACGGCTTTACTCTAGACAGAAGTTTCAGATGAAAAAAGCCTGACTTAACTACTGTGTTAATGTGTTGATCAAACTTAAAGTAGGAGTCCAGAGTTATTCCCAGACTTTTCACAGTTGGTTTGATATAAGAGTGCAGATTTCCAACATTGACAATGTTTTTTTCTTTCCCCACAGAGGGCCCAAACACAATTGCTTCAGTTTTACTCGCATTAAGGTGTAGAAAATTTGAGGACATCCAGGATCTTATGTCATTTAGACAGGCAAGCAAGGTTTCTAAGCCTTTCTTGTCAGTGTGCTTAAAAGGCAGATAAATTTGAGTGTCATCTGCATACAAGTGAAAAGATACTCCATGCCTTCTAAGAATAGAACCTAGAGGTAACATATATAATGAATACAGAGTTGGGGACAAAATGGATCCTTGAGGAACACCACAGGTAAGAGGAGCTATGGATGAGACAGAGCCTCCAATGCCAACTGAAAAGGTTCTGTCAGTAAGAAAAGATTTAAACCAACTGAGGGTACTTCCACGGATGCCAACATAATGTTCAAGACATGACAATAGAATGGCATGATCAACAGTATCAAAGCATTAAAATGACTGAGTCTCCGGAGTCGACAGATAGCAGAATGTCGTTCAAAACTCTTAATAGTGCAGATTTAGTACTGTGGTTTGTCCTAAAACTGGACTGAAATCCGATAAAAAAACTTTATCAAGGATAATATTTGCATCAAGGAATCTCTGTAATTGCAGTAGCACTGTTTTCTCTAGAATTTTAGATATAAAAGGTCAATTAGAAATCGGTCTAAATTTTGATAAATCAGTGATGTCCAAATTAGGTCTTTTCAATATTGGTCTCATCCTGGCATGTTTACAGAGAGCGGGAACAGAACCTGAGAGAAGGCTTTTGTTGATAATTAACAGGATCCATGCCCCAACACTGTCAAATATCGGTTTTAAAAAAAATGAGTAGGAACAATGTCAAGAGAAGAGGTAGTAGGATTCAAATTGTTGACTATGTGACTATGTCTTCATATTTTAGCATGTTTAGTTTTAGCTCTAAGAGCTTTAAAAACACATATTGAGAGCCCTACATTTTCTGTTCCAGTCAAGGAGGTCCATAATAAGGTTCCATTTCATTGCTCTCTGTCTAGCTGTTTTGAATGCATTAGTGTATGGATGTAGTTTTCACATCTGAAGTACTCACCACTTGCAGTTTAATCTGGATGCAGAGGGACTTCTTTTTAACAGCGGCCACACCAGTGGTGAAGGTCTTTCTCATGCTTGTTGCCCTGCGCAGGGCCAGCTGTGATCCGCCCTCAAGCCCAGCAATAGAGCCTGACAAAACTGTGGCTCCCCCTGAACGCCCCATAAACAAGCAGCTGATATTCTTCCTGCAGAGAGAAGGACCACAGAATGAGCTGGATCATTTAACGCCTCCACAAGTGAAATATGCAACATTTGAAATAAGCAAAATAGGTTGTCATTACACATAATCGTATCTCAGCAGCTGCCTTTTCAGTAACAAGTAACACTAGCTTCCCAAACACTGAACATATAGTAAACGTTAATTTGACCAAAACACTTCAAGTTAACTGGGAAAAAAACATTAAATATTACTATATAATAATGATGATAACAACAACAACAACAACAAATGTATTTGTTATCATTTAAACTATAAAAACTAAATGTGTAATTTTTTTATGAATAATTAAATATTTATTATTTAAAGTAAAAAATGTAATCAATAAAAATTATTTAAAAAATTATTGGCTGTCTTAATTCCTTCTCTTTCAAACATTTAACCATAGAGTAATGATTCTCACTGCACTTTCACAAGCGACCCAATCTCAGAGCGGAGTTTGCTAAATGTTTGTACCAGCAGGCAAATATTAGTAATTAATTTCATAATAAGGGTCTTACTTCTGAGAGTCCTGCAGTAATATGGCCGCATTCTGAGAGGCAGGATTCTGTTTGGCATGGCTTAACCAGCCCCGAGCATCATACTCCACCCAGTCAGTCCCATGGCTGTGACCCAACAGAAAGTGATGTGCCTTCTCACTCTTCAGCAGCAGGGCAGGGCCTGAGGGACGCATTTATGTTGCATGATTTTTTCATACATAAATGTCTATGTGTTAAAGTATGTGTGTGGTTGGGCATGTGGGAGGTGTATTGTGTTCTGACCTTTGCTCTCTCCGTCCACAGGGCTGTAATAACTGAAGAGTCTCTCCAGCAGGGTTTCCTCTGAGCCTCCGGGCTGCAGAGCTTCTTCCTCCATCAGCCACAGCAGGCCCCTCGCCTCATCTGTCCTGGCCAAGGTCCGTATCTGAATCACATGGGCATGCAAGAACACTTTGTTAGACTCTAACCGTAGACGCATCTGTAATATAAACGGGGAGCTGGGGACAAAACCGATTCAAATCCCGGACGAGCCCCCGATTTAGGTTTCAACCCCAATTTCGAGCCATAGTATAAATACTTTTTAATGTTTAACCCTGTAAAAAGCCTGACATATAAATGAACAGTCAGGAAAAATCAAATCTTTTTTTATGGTCAAAGCTCTGATCATTTTTGGGGGGCAAAACATATCACGCAATACAATACAATGATGATTGTGAGATGAACAGATAAACATTTCTCGAAAGCTTAATGTATCATATTTGACACTCACATTTTAACATGAATTTTGTAATAAATTATATATTGATAATCAAGTGAACATAAGTTGCTTCAGTCTTGTGTTCAAGTTATTCTTACGTTTACTTTATAAAAAGCCGTATAAATTTCACAGCAAATAGGCATCTAGTAGATCTAGTGTACAACAGGTTTTCAAGCAAAGTTTTGATCATGTTGATAATTTGCATATCAAATATAAAATAGGCTTTTTAGGGTTAATTCACAGAATAAAGGACATTTGTGAATGTGACCACACTTTAAAGCATTAACCTGTTAGAAAAGGACCTCTAAAACCTTATGAAAGCACTACCAACTCATCCCTCTCGGCAAGGTTACACCACGTTTTTTGAAATTATTTGCCACTGAGATTCTTCTCATGAATCAACAGTGAGACTAACAAGACATTAGACCCTAATGCGCATGCTGCATCTTGGCTATAACAAGCTCAATCTCTCTCAAAAACTTTGTTTACTCGCAATTCCAGCCCCTTTCATTCATCAAGACTGTGCATTGTTTAATTTACTTTTCATTTAATATTTCGATAATAACCTCAAACACAACATTAGTCATTACATGAAAGCAATTACTATCCTTTATAGAATAAGAGAGAGGAGTAGAAAACGAGGGGAAAAAAGATGAGCTATTAGTCTTGGGCTCCTCATTAAAGGCCTGTATTAAGTAAGAGCTCCAGGGCAGTCAAGCAGGCATTTTTAAACCTTACACTCTGCCTGTCTACCTAAGCAATTAATACCAGTAATGGCTTCTCCCTTGTTCTGCTTTACCGCACTGACACTTTGCAGGCTGCTGAATTAACTGTGGATGAGGCCAGTGCGGAAAAGAACTTACAGCAATTACGTTGGCTTATGAATATGCTCAGAATCTGTCTTTAAATATTACTTTTCACACTGATGAGACCGTGTCACTATGCCTCAGTACTATTTTCATCAGACACAGATTTGCTAATTAACCTGTCAGGGTTGTTTTAGCGAGTGCTTTCAATTAATTAATTTTTAAAATGCTCATTTGACAATTTATGAATTCTTTCAAAACTTCAGTAAACTGAAAAGCAGAAAAAGACTTAAAAGATTATATGACTACACAGGCAATTGTGTTTATTCTAGTTGTAAAACTGTAATTGGTGATCGAGGCCACTGGGGGCACTCAAAACACTTTCTAGTGACACTCAAAGCAGCTTGTCAGAAATAAAAATTACACTCATCGCTTTTGCAATCAGTCACATATCACTGACCCATTCTAATCTAAAATCCTTTTTTAAGCAGAGGATGCCTGTTTTAATCTATTAATTCAATCATAAGTAAAGATGGTTACCTGACATACTAATGGAAATTGGTTGCAGCAATATCTAGAAAATGAATAATTCAAATGCCCTATCTTGCAGAGTGTGATTGGTATATTGCTGAGAAAAGTAGCATGTACCATGTGTCCACGCAGGTGCAGTCAAGATGACAATAAGAAAGTTATGTTTTAAACTAACAACACATAGCATATACTGTTGGTAATAATATATACTACCGTTCAAATATACAAACACACACACACAAGATGAAATGCTGTCAAAACAGAGTTTCCAGTGTCAAATATAAGGTACAAATAAAATCTGAGCTAAAAATCTGTCTCTGATTCCAGTATGATTCAGATTTAACAGGGACTACTAAGCATGACACTTTTTGTGACAGAGACAATGTCATCAACAGTGCTTTCATTAACAAAGATGCTGAACGCTGTGCTTTAAAAAGAGGGAGGGCACTTCCCACTCAATACCCACCCACACATAGAGAAAAAGAACAGCCTCTCCGTTCTCATTAACATCCCAGAAAGCCACGTTCCTGAAACGCTGCTCCTGTGACGACTGGCTAGATACGACAATATAATAACTTGCCACACAGATAACAACTTTGAGGTTGAATTCACACTCAAATGACAAACTAAAGGGCACAAAAGTCATTGAGTAGAACTTTCAAGCAGTCAAACAGTTTTTCCCCAACGTTGTGTGAGAGACGAGGGAAAACTCAGTGATTCAAGTCACTGCTGAAACTGAAAAGCCCACATTCTCCAGATAAGGCCCCTTTGGGGACAGACTGGGATGCACTACAAAAACCTGAGGAGGAAAGAAAGTAAAGAGTTGCTTACCAATGCTTGAGTGGAGGCTTGGTCTATAGCTGATACAGATAGTGATGTACTGGACTCTATGTCATCTAATGCAAGCTCTATGTTTTCCTAAACAGGGATAAAGGGAGTATTAGTCAGCTACGATTTCAAACTGATTTTGGGTTAAAGGTTTCCTTTTTTTTTTTTTTCATGTGTCTAATACCATATTTTCTCGTTCGATTATTTTACAGCCTCGTGGCCAAATAAATAAAAAATAAAAAAGTAAGAGGCTGAAGCATGAAAATTGATCATTTCAAGACCTTTGATTAAAGGTGCTATAAGCGATTTGAGTGGAATGGTACTCAGACATCTCACTGAATTCAGTGCCCTGAAATATCAGGCCTGTCTCTATGACAGCCCTAAGTTCTGTGAACTGCCAAAAATATATGAGCACTGGCCAATCAGATCACTAGGAGGCAAATTCTGTGAACACACCGTAAAATCACAATGAAACGGAAGTAGCAACAGATTTTTTTTCTTCTGTATTGTTATGTACACCCAAGTGTTACAGATTAGGGTGGGAACTTTTTTCTATCCATTGGTTGTTAATTGGATTTTGGGTATGTGGGTGTTGCACTCAAAAATTATGTTGTTTGCACCCAAAGAGTTAGAGTTATGAGTTAAGAGTAATGACATTTTGACAAAACATTGTCAAATAAAAAAAAAGTACAAATCAAATGTATGCATGGATGAACTGTTCCCAATAAGCTCTATAACATACATTTACAAATTTTTAGAACAGAATTTTCATTTCATGCCGACTGGAAGTCTGTAGGGAGTTCCAGAACATCGCTTACAGATGTACTTAGCCTGATTATTGATTGTGTTAACAAGGTAAGCACATTTGATTATGATAGCTTAGACAAACATGTTAATTCTGCATAATTAAATTTGAGGTTGTAATGAAATCAACATCGTTTGAACTCAGCTAGACATAGCCCAAATTAATTGAGACTATAATTTTTTTTTTTTTAAAGGAATAATTTGATAGTTGTAACGGGATGGATTTCTGCACCTCCTTGTAGCGCTCTAGCTCCTGTACAAAGGTGCGTTCGTGGAAAAGCGTTTGGAGACGTTCTTGGGTGTAGTTGTGGCACAGCTCTTCAAAGGTGGCGCCACGGTTCCGCTTGGCTAACTTTGGGTTCTGGAATCCTGGTGTGTCCACAATAAGCAGAGAGCACAGGGAATGCTGACTCGACTTCAGCGCTCTAAACCAGCACAAACAAACAACAGATGCACATTTAATGTAGGTTAGATGCATCAAACAATACAGGCTTTTTTTCTCATTCACAAATGAAACTGGGAAGTATGGTAGGCAATTTAAAAGCCTACTCCCACTACTAATCTTTACATTCTTAATGGGAAAAAGACAGACATTTCTGTCCTGACCATGAGAGGTAACAAACATTACCGGTTAACAAGTGAGATGACCAGAGTAAAGAGCTCAGAGTAGAGTCCAGCAGCCATGGCCTCCAGACACTCCAGAGCTGTGATCTTTGGAGCTGTGAGGCAAAACATAGATTTTAATACTGCCAAAGCCAGCAAACACAATTCCTTTGTATCAGAGGTCTTGTTTTATGAAAAGTCTTACCCGAGTTGTCTCCTGTCCCAACATCATCTGGTCCCTGGCGGAATGAGGTGGATCTCTGTAAGGTTCCTTTGGGCTGGTGTTTGAAGATAGCAGACGAGAGCTCTTCTAGGGTGCAACCCAAGAGGTAAGCCGCCTTCTGGGCCCACTCATGACGAGCAAATTGCTTCCGGCCCGCTGTGAGATGCACAGGGACAGTGTAAATACCATGTCGAATGAAGCAACACTAATGACTGTGGGGCTCTTATGGTATCTGAGAGAAGTCTTGTGCAATTCCGCTGATTATTTCATTAATGTACAGTCAATATTAGCTTTAGGATACAGATTTTTAGAAAAGATCCAGTTTTAACCAAATATTGTAAGATTGGAAGAAAAACAACAGTGGTTTTCATCTGGTGCATTATGAATTAAAGTAGGCTGCAGGTTAGTTCCGGTCATGGATGATAAAATGCTGTTTGATTATGCTTTTTTAGAATATCAATTTTGAAGGGAGGAGAAACTCTTTCCACATATTTTGTTATTCAAATTTGTCATCCAGTCAATCACTGTGGTATTTTCATGCAAATCCATCTGTTACTTGGTAAACACTTGCCAAATTAAGCAGATGCCATGTGTGACAATTCCTCATCCTCAAAAAATCATGAGCAAAACTATAGAAGGTAAAAGAAACTACATCCCAGACTAGATTAAATATGGATTCAACTGAAACAAAGATGAGTTTCAAGATTACTGGTTGCTGGAACAATTATAAAACATTAGTGTAAATATACGTCATATTATTATTTTGTATATGGCTGGGCATCCACACCTCATGATAATATTAATAAACATAAGTATTTGCTTATATTTAAACAAATATCAAATACAATTCTAATAGTATTTGGTTGAATATGTTTGAACAGATTAGATTGTTTTATCAAAATTTATTTTTTTATTTATTTTTTTTACAAGAAGCTATTTTGGTACCATATTGTTGATATTCGATGTAAATTTTGACAACCACTATTGAAAACCACTGACTGTATAAAACTCTCACTTTCAGAGCTGTCAAAAATTGGTCTGATGATGTCTGTGAGTTTTAACGTTTAAACATCACAGAAAATGTGTCCGCTTTTAAAAATGTTTTAAGGATTTTCAAATGTGTCGCAAAAGCAGATATTGTTCCGACTGATCTCAGAGCTAACCACAGAGTCATACACAAGAAGAGTGACACACAAGCTGAAGTGAAGTTGCCGCAACCAGAAGAGGTCGCAGAGAGAGCGAGACGGAAAACAACGCAGGCCTCTGGTGGAATAGATGAACGCCAAAAATAAACAAGAACTGAGAGCGAACAGGCTTTTTATTTGTGTTTGCGGCTTAACAACAGAAAAGCACTGCAGAAATGAAAAGTCTACAACATGGAGAAACATCAGAGAGCCTGGGATTTATAAGACAACAAAGTTACGATGCTCCCCTCCCTCACCCGCACATATTCCCTCCAAAGTTTTATCAAAGCTTCAAGACTAAGACATTGTTATAAACCTCTAAAAGAAAAGAAGCCCAGCAATGAAATGAAAGAAGAAAGAAAAGACAATAATGCAAATGCAAATGGAAATGTCTGGCAACTACGATAACAGCATAAAACCACACACACATACACAAATGAGGTATTTGCTTGTTGTGCTGATATATAATATTCTTGCTCTTTACCTTCATCAGCCTCTGCTTTGTAACATCATGCAACATGCAAGTAGAGAAGAAGAGGTTAGAACATGACAGACATTCTTCAGTATTGTACAAACGGAACCAAAAATGCAATCGTTAGCACACAAACTCTCACATATACAAATATTACTGGCTTTTTCATTTGACATTTCCATTGCACATTAGTTTTCAATTAGTAATCTACCAATACATGTTTTTCCAATGGCTGGCCAATGAATGGCTATAATAGCATATGAGGACTAGTAATAGTACATTTTTTATTTGTACAATATTTTCACCAAATATATTTTAAAAAGCTACAATAATAGTAATAATCGTTCATTATTATTATAATTTTTCAAAGTGTATTTTCTTTTCAACAAACCCTTAAGAACTGAAATAACATGTACAGGTTTTATTTGATCAAAAATACAGTAAAAACATAAATTTTTTAAAACATTAATGTTTGTGAAATGTTTTCTATTGTAATGTAAGTGATCAAGAAACATTTCTTATTAAAACTTAATATTGTTGTAGAGACTGTGATGCATATTTTTTTCAGAATTCTTTGATGAATAGAAAGTTTTTAAAAAGTATTTATGTGAAAAGGAAATCATTATAAATGTAGTCACCTTAATGCATCCTTGCTAAATAAAAGTATTAAAAAACTCTTACTGACCCCACAGTTGATTGGTAGTATATATCAGACTGTTGTTCTAGAAAAACTATTTTACACTTTTTACAGTTATTTGCCTGTACTAAGAGTAAGAACAGACTTAAACAAGGTAAATACCCAGTCAAAATACAGTTAGAACAACACTGCCCCCTGCTGTACGAACAGTCAGGTACAACTAAGTGACAAGACAAAGGTCTTTAAAATTATTTAATATACTGTCCTGAAGGTGAAAAAAAGCTTTACCAGTAATTATGTTTGATGACATGTAATGTTAGTCTTCAGTACCAAATCAGGACACTGAAGCAGTATTAGTACCTCCTGCCAGAAATAAAGCTTTCCCGCATTTCCCGCAAAAAAAGAGCAATTTTCCAAGATTTTATAAGATAAACACACACACATTGGTATTGGTGGTTTACGGGGACTCCCCATAGGCGTAATTGTTTTTTCTACTAACAAACTGTATTTTCTATCGCCCTACGCCTAAACCTACCCCTCACAGAAAACTTTTTTAGATTAAAAAAAAAAAAAAAAAACTTTTTTTAAGCCTTTTGAATTACAGGGACACAAGGAAGTGTCCTCATAAACCACCTTCATATTGTAATACCTGTCATACCCATGACATTATACAAATTTGTGTCCTCATAAACAACCCAAACCAGTGCACACACACAATTTGAATATTCCCAGCAATTTTCCCATGACCAAAGAGTTTCCCATGACTGTGGACCCTTGAGACAGCATGTAGACAGTACAGTTTGGAGTCTGGTGATTAAAAGGTTCATTAATACATCATCCTCCGAATGCATGAGGGGGACATGATATCATAGACTGTGAATTAAAGCCATCTATCCTCATTAGAGCTAAAGAAACACATATCTCTAAACTCCTCAGCATCAAACTGTTTCCTGAGCTGCTTGTCTCTCCTCTGTTTGAGCTCAGTAAGCAGACAGTAAGTTGGCCTTAATTAATAAAGTCTGTTTCTGTGCTTGACAGCATGTAGACAGTACAGTTTGGAGTCTGGTGATTAAAAGGTTCATTAATACATCATCCTCCGAATGCATGAGGGGGACGTGATATCATAGACTGTGAATTAAAGCCATCTATCCTCATTAGAGCTAAAGAAACACATATCTCTAAACTCCTCAACATCAAACTGTTTCCTGAGCTGCTTGTCTCTCCTCTGTTTGAGCTCAGTAAGCAGACAGTAAGTTGGCCTTAATTAATAAAGTCTGTTTCTGTGCTTGTTAGGCATTTTGAGCGCGTTATCTCATTAAGACGTTTTTTTTTTTTAAGCTCTCCAGTTCTGATGTGTAAAGAGAAATCTGTCGAATGCTTCTGTGAGCTAAATTAGCACAGAGACAGTAGTGTGGGGCTTAAAGGGGAAGACTTAGAATCAAAGCAAGCTATTAAAGGGGTGGTTCACAGTTTTTTTTCTAGGCTTGATTGTGTTTATGGGGTGTAGTCTAACATGTGTTAATGCTTCGTTTAAAAAAAACGCATTATGTTTCACATAATTTGCCTTTATTCCACACCGCTCTGTCCCTTCTCTGAGAAATGGGCTGATCTTTTCCTGTTTTTTTTGAAGCCCCGCACTCAGAAATAGGCGATGGGCTCTGATTGGTTAGCTAGCCCAGTGTATTGTGATTGGCTAAACCACCTATAGTGCTCATCTAAACGTCCCGCCCCTCACCTCAGCGGCATGTGCTCCGGTTGTATTGTAAACAAAGGCGTCGTTAATATCGCTTATCAGTTTGAGCCCGATTGAGAAGCAGAGGATGTTATTGAAGAGGATCGTGCAGAACCTGTGCAAGCACGGCTTTTAATGGTAGGCCTATGTTTTTTGTTTGTTGTTGTCTCATACTTTTAGATATGTTGTCATATACTTTTAGATATTTGCAAATGCTGCTGCTTATGTTAGCTTTTAATATACGGTTTTATCCTGATTAAAGCTTTAATACAGTACGGCAACGCTTCTCATAGCTATGTGAAAATAAGTGTATAATTGGAACAGTTCATTGTTGGAGCTGAGCTGAATGAGGGAAAGAGAGAGAGAGAGAGAGAGAGAGAGAGAGAGAGAGAGAGAGAGAGAGAGATGCAGAGCACCGGACGCGAGGAACAGTATTAAGAACCGCTGCTTTAGAACATTGATTTTGAAACTTGTGAATCCATTAGAATTGTTAGAAGACAGAATCGCGATTCATATATGAATAGATTTTTACGTGCACCTCTAGTTTTCTCTTCCTCTTCTCTAAAGCAGTCCAGCATTGCCTCGCCCCCTTTGCCCCGAGGGCGGGGTTTATCTGGGTTTGTGATGTCACAAAACTCGTTGTAGTCCCTACCAGCCTTTTTGTGGGCATTAAACTGCCATAATTTTAAAAGATCTCCGTTTGCATTGAACTTTCAGCTTCGTAACTTTGCAGATTTTGTTTATGCTCAAACAGCAACATTACACACAAACTAACGTTAAAAAAGTTAAATTGCAATGAACCACCCATTTAAACGTTCTAAATATGCTAAGGGTTTATGCTGGGGTTATTGGTGACTTGGGATTTCTTGAAAGTAAATCAATGACACCACACTGTCTGACTGGGTGAGCGTTGCATTACCTTTTGTGGCCCCCGCAGCTCCAAGGTGGTATATGGCCCCAAGGATGAGCCACAGAGCTTTCTGTTCATCAGAAGAGATGCCCAGCACCTTCATAGCTGCCTGCAGTTTAGTGAACTGTTGTGATGCCTTTTGCTTGTCCTCAGACTGTGTATACACACACACACACACACACACAAAAAGAATATTAGAAATAAAATAAAACATTTTATTTGTTGTATGCATTGCCCACTAAATTAATAAATCATTTTAAAAATGATTTTGCTTCTGCTGCTGGCAAACTATTCAATCTACTCAAAACTAACCTTAGTTTGAGGCACAATCCCAAAAGCACTGTTCTCTGCAAAGTGGTTAAAATGCAACTCCGTTCTGCAGGAAAATTGAAATACAATCAAGTTATTAAATAATCAAGGTATTTTACAGATTTCTTCAATAGTGCAAGCTTTTTTAAGAGCAGAAATGTTGGGTTCCAGGCAAAATAACTGAAAAATTCAATAGCAAAAGTACATTTGTTTTAAAAGCACACTACATTCAATTACCATGAGTTTACCTGAGTGTGCTGTCTGCTCCAGCCATCATGTAATAAAAAACATTAAAAGTGGACTCCGTCTCTGGTCGTTTCACCACCCTCAGCTTCTCCAGCAGCATGGTCTACATATAAAAGAAAGAGATTAATGAATCTTAGCAAAATCAACAAAACATAAACAGAATGGACATGTTTATATAATTACAATAGGGGAATTCTTTTTTTTGCCCATTTTGCACAGTATTGTACTATACAGTGATTCAATTATTAAAACTATTAAGATAACACATTTTTATTTATGATTATTATTATTGATTGAAGTGGGTGGTTAGATGATGGGTTGCCATTTAACTATAAGTCATAAAATTAGTGCAATGTGCATTTTGTATAATTTAGATATGACCCAGTACTATATCGACAAACCTGGATAGAGGCAGAGGCCACCTGACCAGCCTGGTCAAAATCCAGCGAGACGATCTGGGAGAAGCGGCTTGCATTATTGTTCATGGAGGTGGCACTGTTTCCAAAGGCCTCTAAGATTGTGTAGACCGCTTGCCATTTCTCAGCTGGAAGAGACACGTTAATATTTAACTAAAGGACTCACTCTTTAACATTGACCGCACTCGAAGAGAGGATCCTGCATACAGAGTTGAGCATACAGAGATAACATCACAGCCTCTTTAATGGTATAGTTGATGAGCACTGTAGTCTTCATTAGGTCATTATTGACCAAGCAGGGGCTGAGCAGGCCCTGAAGACGCCTAATTATCAGAGTGCTTTAGTGGGCATCATTAGCACAGTCCTCATCTGTCACCCTCTTCCCAGCGCTCACACTCGCTCCACGCTATACAAGCCCATTTCCAGTGACCGCACAACACCCTTCCATTTACCCTTTACCACAGGCTGTTCCAGCTTTTCAAGCACATAGATATAATACACAGTTAAAAATGGGAATGCACAATGATCATATTATACTGGCCAATATTAGCAATTCAACAGTATTTTGTTTTTCTAGGCTTGGTTACAAAAGAACAGTTTTAAAAAGAATGACTTCTATTGTGAAATTCTGATGCTTTCACACCAGATTGCACTTTTACACATTTCAGTTTGAATTGCCCAGAATAGTTAAGTTAAATTAAATTAAATTAAATAACGAATGTCAGATTGTAGCTTAAAAATAAAGTATGCAAGCATTGATTTATAATATTATAGGCCACCAGCATTAGCCAAAATTTTAGTTCATCCCTAGAAAACCATTTAAAATTGCTAGGAGATGAGATTAGTATGGCTCCTGTTTCTGTACCAGTAAAGATCTTTCCAGTGCTGCCGGCGATGGACACCAGATACTGAACTAAATGCTGGCAGTTTGTGGTCTTGCCACTGCCACTCTTTCCCAGCAGCACGACGGACTGGTCCTGTCGTGTTGTCAAAAGGTTTCGGTAGGCAGATTGAGCCACTGCATATATATGAGGGGCCGTGTCTTCTCGTCGGCAGCCTTTGAACATGTGCATCACCTGAAATGTCAAAAGAGAAAAAATAAACTTCTAACAAACAAACACATTCATTTTCTTTATGCCTCTTGCCCTCTGAGAAAACAGAAGTCTTAGTGAAGATCATTGTTGGGAAAACAAAAGTAAGGAGTTTACAGGCCAAACTAATAATCTAATAATCTTAATGTATTACACAGTGTTTATTTTCTGTTCAACAGAAAAGTCAATAATGAAAACCTTAAAGCCTCAAATGTAAACCCATTAATATTCATTTTCCATTGAAGGGAAAATCAATAGCTGTTAATTTGAAAAGAAAGGTGGCGTAAACCATCTTTCCAGCACTAAGTGCAATAACATTTTCACATATATCATAGTTTCAGCTTTAGAATGCAGAAAACACTCATCATGGCACATATTCAACTTGATCCATAATGCAAAATCACTTAATTAGGACCGATGACCGAAAGAAATTCTCTTCTGGATCGTAATTACATTTTATGGGTAGTACTTTATCTTGCATGAAATCCAATAAAGCTCATTTGCGGCTTTCAGTTGCCCATTTCCTATTGCGTTTAACTGACGAAGGGACAGTTGTATAAAATATAGTAGCCATAATGCATTGCATTGCTGCCACAGTGAGTAATTCCGCCTGTAATTGCATACTGTCAGAATATATAATGCATTTGATGAACTAGGAGGTAATGTGAGTATTTGTTGCCAACTGTTTCATGAGTATTGGGATGCTATATAATAAAGTAGTAGGCATATTTGGATGCAAGGAGTGTGAAAGAAAACAAGAGCTCTCACCTTCTCTGAGTACATGGAGGGGGCGCTGGTAGGGTTGATGATCACCATGTTGGGCCCCGCGTATGTGTGGATGAGGTTTCCTCCATAGCGCTGGCGCAGGGAATGCATAACACTGGACTCATTCAGGTAGAGCAGAGCTGCCAAGTCCTCACAGCGGTCAAATGACGGCGGGTTCGCCTGGATTGAAAGGTTTAAAATGTTAAAGGTCAAAGAATGCTAGAAAGCTGACTGGTGATTAATGGGAAGAGTGGAAATATGACAACAACAAAAAAATAGTAAGAGGTTTTAAGTTGATGTGATTCATCCATAACAGCCTCAAGACTTCATGTCAAGTCTTTAATGCAATTTAAAACTCGTCAAGCTCAACTCTGGATCCAGCTAAGCAATTCCCTCATTGAACAGACGGTTAAAATTTTTTATTTGAGGTCAACTTGGAAATCATCAGCTCAGAGCTGCCCTTCACCGGGAGGTATGCGAAATAAAACGACTGTGCCAGGCAGGAAGTGAGCTGAAATATTTCCCAGCATGTCTCATCAAGGCCTAAATAGTGCAAACTCTGAAAATTCTATTAGACTTCTATGCGTGTCTATATAGGTCAATCTGTCCGTTTTAAAATATAGGCCAAATCCCACCTGTTTCTCTGTGACCTATGCAATAGCATCTTCTCCCACCCTGTGCATGTTACCCAGGACCCACCTGTGCATGTCTAACCCTCACTTGGCTCTGGATTCAGGCCAAGTAGTAGCAGAGCTCTGCAAAAAAAACCCTGTGCCTGAGCCCTGCAGACCTGAAGATTCGTTAAAATACACAGCTATTCTGCTGTTGAATCCACATCACCACAGTGAAAGGAATCATTGTTTTCTGCTGTGATTGTGCAGTCTGAATTGAATGTGATGAAATGAGATGAGACTGTGTACTGCTCATTTTTTCCTATTCTATTACCTGACTGCACTCAAAAACCAGCACAGCACTACTAGTGTAGCCACTTCATGAACAAAATGACTGGGACGTTTCTTCTAATTTATCACATAAAAGTGCTCACAAGTGGATCTAGGCCTACCTTAAATCAGTCTGACAAATCATTTAATGAATCTCTTCAAAGTTAGAATCAGTTAGAATCTTTGAGAAGTCATTTTCAAATCTAAATTAAGCAAGAAATGTTTGTGTACTTAAGGTTTGTGAAACTAATCATTATTTACTGGTTGTTCATATAGCAACATAGTTAAAGATACAAACTCTATTTTGATTTGAATTAAAACATTAAAGTCACAAAACTATGAAAACACATCTGGTTCTATCTGTCGACTGGATTTTGAGATGTGGGCGTTGCACTAAAATATGGAGGCAGATGAACACAAGATTGCAAGGGCAAGCTTTAAAGAGGATTAAATGATTGGAGAAGACCCGCATGTCACCACAGAGAAGTCACCGGAAGGTTCAGTTATGACGATGATTAAATTTTTACGTTTACGAAGTCAAAAACTTAAAAAAAAAATTAAACATACAAAAATGAATTGATCACAATATGATCTAAAACATGCATTTAGAGAATTTTCATTACATTTTGAATATGAATAAAATCTTTTGTTTGTGCATACTGAAACACATAATCAGCCTGGACAACTGACCTTCTCTATGTCATCCTCGTCCACGTCCAGTACCGTCCCATCATGCTCCAGTTTGATTTTCACTTTCCCCTCTGGTAGACTGCCAGTCTCCGTCTTCACCACAGTGGCTGTAAAGAACACAAGAGAACACTGTGAATGTTTTTATTTCTGATTGCACACAACATCATTGCGGAAACAAAATTAACACAGACTTTTTACATATCAATGCCATTAAAGCGCTCTGTTATTGTAATCGTAATAAAACTGGTATTACATAAAATCTAAATTGACCCTATTTCCTTTGTTAATAAATGTCCCTGGTGCTATTGTGTGCGAAACAATGGTGCACAATATTCTAAAGGAGAAAATGTTTCCATGATCTTTCATCAAAATGCAATAACGTTCTCCGCCTCTGAAATGACTTTCTCTTCCACTCTAGCTCAATATTCTATTTTCCACATAGGAATGTGTCAAATTATGCAAGTTAAATGAATAGAAAATGCCATTTCCTGTTGTCTTCAATTTAAAATAATGCTTCAAGTTCATTTTGCATGGCTTTTGTACTAACCCAGAGAGAATCCATCCTTGTGGACCAGCCACACTTTCTCTGAGCCGTACCATGCTTGCTCTGCAGCTATCTGCTCCTCTGTTTTCACCTGTGAAGGAGAAAAACATCAGTCAAACTCATTATTTACGGCTTTACACCGGCCTTTTGAACAGGAGCATCACTGATATGCTTCAAATCCACTCCATGCATTGGTCCACACTTATGTGAGAAGGTCTGTTATGATTTAATGACACAAAAATGGTCTTTTTATCCTGATCTGAGACCTCTGCTGACAGAATATCAATTAGAGTACAAAGGTCCCAGATCAGTCCAAAAAAAAAATATATATATATATATATATATATATATATATATATATATATATATATATATATATATAT